ACGTTCTGTACTTCGCCACCGAGGCCCGGGCGGGTTGGACCCACAGCGACCCCCGCCCTCTTTATTTTTGGGTTTATTTCGTTGGCATCAACGCGGTCTGGGTGCTGGTGCCCGGCCTCCTCATGCTCGATGCCTGGCACCAATTGGCCACTGCCCAGCGTGGCCACGACCGACCCCGCCACAAAGCCCACTGAGCCCCCCCCAAGGTCGGGGGGCGACCTGGAGACCCCTCCCCAAAGAGAGGATTCAGCACCTGGGAGGTTCCTGGAGGTGGATTCAGCACCTGGGACCCCCCCCCAAAAAAAAAGCTCAAGGGGAGAGGCCTGGAAGGGCTGGAGCCCCTCCCTGTGTTCCCGGGAATGTGGGGGGGGTTCCGTGGGGGTCCCCACCTCGTTCTCGAGGGGTCTCAGCCTCGTTTTTGGGGCTGTGAGGTGGGAACGTGACTGGTTTGGGGGTCAGAGATGGGTTTTAATAAAGGAGGTGGAAATGGAACTGAGGGTTTGGTTTTGGGGGGGGGTCCTGGAGGGTTTTGGGTTTGGTTTTGGGGGGTCCTGAGGGGTTTTGGGTCTGTTTTTGGGGGATGCCCTGGGGTTTTGGAGGGGTCAGGAGCGGGATTTAATAGAGGAGCTGGAAATGGAGGTTTGGGGTCTGGTTTTGGGTCTGTTTTAGGAGGTTTTGGGTGTGTTTTGGGAGGTTTTGGGTCTGTTTTTGGGAAGTTTTGGGTGTGTTTTTGGAGGTTTTGGGTCTGTTTTTGGGTGTGTTTTTGGGAGGTTGTGGGTCTGTTTTTGGGAGGTTTTTGGGTCTGTTTTTGGAGGTTTTGGGTCTGTTTTTGGAGGTTTGGGGTCTGTTTTTGGGAGGTTTGGGGTCTGTTTTTGGAGGTTTGGGGTCTGTTTTTGGGAGGTTTTGGGTCTGGTTTTGGGTCTGTTTTGGGAGGTTTGGGGTCTGTTTTTGGGATGTTTTGGGTCTGTTTTTGGGAGGTTTTTGGGTCTGTTTTTGGAGGTTTTTGGGTCTGTTTTTGGGAGGTTTTGGGTCTGTTTTTGGGAGTTTTGGGTCTGTTTTGGGGAAGTTTTGGGTCTGTTTTTGGAGGCCCTCGGGGGTTTTGACCACATGGGAGGGAGGAGAAGGGGGCGGGGTTTGCGGGAGATTGACAGGTGACGCAGGGTAATGATAGGGCGTGGTTTCTCGCCTTGCTCCGCCCCTTTCCCTCTTGAGCCAATGGGAAATTAGGTCGCTCGCTGCAGCCAATGAGAGGGCGGTGTGGGCGGGGTTAAGGCTCTCGCCAATCAGCGCTCGGCGTCTCCTCGCTGTTCCCGCCCACCGATGATAGACGTGCCGCCAGCCAATCAGCGCTCACGTTTACCTTGAACCGCGCCTTCCCCCTCCCGTAAACCGGCACCTCCTCCAACCAATCAGCACTCCCTCCTCACAACTCCCGCCTCCAACGCCAACCAATCACCGCCCCCCATCCCCTCCTCAACCAATCAGCGCGCACCCCCGCCATCACCATGGCGACGCCCGTCCCGCCTTCCCACGGCGGAGGCGGGGCTAAAAAGGCGGGACTTCCGGGCGCGCTCTCCACCAATGGCGACGCCGCGCGGCGGGCGCCGGCCAATGGCGGGGCGCGGCGCGGGCGAGGCGGAAGCGCGCGCGGGGTCGGAGGTCGCGGCTGTTGATGTTGACACGGCCCCGGCGGCCGCAGCGCCCGCGGCCCCTCAGAGCCGGGGGGGCCCCTCCGAGCCCCCTCCCGCGGCCCCCCCGCCCCGCAGCGCCCCGCCGCCGACCCCCGGTACCCCCCCGACCTCCGAGCCCCCTCCCGCGGCCCCCCCGCCCCGCAGTTCCCCGCCGCTGACCCCCGGTACCCCCCCGACCTCCGAGCCCCCTCCCGCGGCCCCCCCGCCCCGCAGTTCCCCGCCGCTGACCCCCGGTACCCCCCCGAGCCCCGCGGCTCCCCCCTCCATGCGCGCCCCGCCATGACGATCCTCCCGAAGAAGAAGCCGGTACCGGCGCCCGACGGCGACGCGGATTCGGGCCCGGACGCGGGGCCCGAGCGCGGATCGGACGCGGGGCCCGAACGCGGCCCTGGAGGCGTCGGCGAACCCGGCGGACCCGGCGTGGGGGGGCCGCGGCCTCGGGCCTCGCCGCCGCCGCCGCTGCGGGGTTGGGCCGGGCTGCCCGGAGCCGCCGGTTCCCCTCCACCCGCCGGGCCCGGAGGTCCCGGTGGCGGCGGCCCCGGTTCCGCGGACGGGCCCGCGGCGCTGCTGGGGTTGGAGGCGGCGGCGCTGGGGCTGCCCGAGCCCCGCGGGCCCGGCTGCGGCGGCGGCGGCGGCGGCGGCCCCGGGCACAGCAAAAGGAGGCGGCGCGGCGGGGCCGGGCCCAGCGGAGGAAGCGCGGGGTCGGGCCCCGGTGGGATCGGGCTGGGGATGGGGCTGGGCCCCGGTTGCGGCAGCCCCGGGCCCGACGAGGCGGGAGGAGGCTACAACAGCGAGGACGAGTACGAGGCCGGGCGGGTGGAGATGGACCCGGCCACGGCCGAGCAGGTGCGGGGGCCGGGGGACACCGGGGGGGACACCGGGGGGACACCGGGGGGGACACCGGGGGGACAAACCGGCGCCTCTTGGGGTTTGGGGTCTCCGCGTTTTTCCGGTTTTTTTCCCGTTGTTTGTCTCCCGCTTTGTGCCGTTCCCCGTTTTCCCGTTTTCCCTGCTGCTCATCCCCCGGTTTTTCTTGGATCTCCCGTTTTTTATCCCGCCCTGGGACCCCTCCCTTGGAATTCCTCGTTGTTTCCCCCTCCTTGTCCCCAGTTCGTGACACCCCCGGAACCTCCCCCATCCCCCTTTTTAGCCCCCCCAGGGGATTCCCACGGGGATCCCCCCCTTTCCCCACTGCCTGACCCCCCCTGAACCCCCTCACCCCCTTTTTTTGCTCCTCTGT